GACCGTGAGCAGTAGTTTATCCACTTATACAATTTTTTTTGCGGTCAAGACGATATGACAGCCTTCAGGTAAAGTAAGTAAAAAATATAAGGGTTTCTGCATGAACGACACAAACTGCATTTTCTTCAATTCACTAACACCAACAACCATAAAATCCCACGCAAGTCCCCCTACCCGAGCAAGCGCAGCCCCTCCCCCCTCCATTTCCTTTCAACTTGTTCTCTGCTACAGAATCCTGCAGCAGCAGTTACCCAAAGCCCAAGTTCTGAGAGTGCTTAAGCAGGTGCACGATTTCTCAGTACATTTACAGCGTCGCGCCATGGGGTTGCTATCCGAGTTGACAGAAATAGTTCGAACATATCACAAGCGTAATTCCCCCCTTGTGATAACACATGAAATTTCACACAAGGATTCTCTCTGGTTCATTTAGAACAGCAGTAAATACTGACATATGTGTATACATGAACGACAATGATCTTGGGGACAATTTAGAGATTCTGGCTAGTGGGTCAGTAGGTTCAGGAGAGAAAGCCGAAGAAGGCGTTTTTCTGTTCACTTGATTTAAACACGCTGGTTTGGTGTCTCGAGGTGTTCTTGACACTTGTTCACATTGAACCACGACAATATGGGCATATTCAATAGAGCATTTCACTAGAATCCCTTCTTGAAACCTCTCCTGCTACTATTTTGAATTTGGGTTCGTGACAAAGCAAGGGCACTCCTCCTTCGAATCGTGTTCGATTATCTTTCACCTTAGGGGGGGGGGGGGGGGCACTTGCTCGTGGTTTTAGGAGAGCATGGCGATCATAAGCGTAAAAAAACTGGAGGTACTAGAGAGTTTAACGAAAATTTGTAGGGGTAAAGTTGCCAAATGAAATAAAATACTATTTACTGAAGTTTTGGCACCAATACAATAGTTTTAATCACAAAAAAGTAAGAAAAAAGCAATGGCAACAATATAGGCACTTCATGCAAAGTATTCTGAATAGATAATAGGAAGAGGGCTCTTTGTTTAAACAAAAGGGCCATCTTCCCCAAAATAACTGCTGTAACCCTTCTATTGCTCCGCATTAGCACTGCTATCAAGTTTATCTATGGGTGTTGAAAAGTCCTTAAATATTTTATATGAAAAGTTTGCAGTTCCTTATACTAAAGAAATGTCCATGTGTGTGCAATACAGGAGAAGGTTATGCATCATTTTACGATTTATTGTGATTTGGCCTACCTAAAAACAATTAAAGCGAGCCCTAAATAATTGTTGGTCATAGTTTAGTGTAAGACAGCACATAGTTGCACTCTCCCTGTACATCCTTCACTTAAATGTGTTTCAGTATAGTACATTTCTAGTGTCCGGTCGCAGTAAAAAATCTAATAATAATATCTGGTGCTTTCCGAATGGGCCACAAAAATCCGGTGGACATTCGACTTATAGCCGCATGTCCACATCCGGAGCCGGTTATCTAAGGGACGACCTAGGCCCGTTGCATTTCGGTTGTTATTTACATACGTTTTGTTTTCTGTCTGGAATATCTACAAAAGATTTCATGTGGGCGCGATAATTTGGCCAGCAGATGGACAACCACGAGACATCCCAAGGAACAAAACTTTCAAAAAAGACTTTTCGAAACGGCAACAAACAGTTATACGTCTTGGTCTAAGAGAAGGCCTAAAACAGACATTTTCAAAAGGAAAGAGTAGCTCCTCAAATGCGCTCGCTTGCAGTTTCGCCGACTGTTCATTTCAATTCAATGGCCGGATCTGCTTGCCACTTTTGTTGCCGATATAGGATGCAGCTAAAACGTCGCCCACGACTTTTCATCATTTCTTTACTGGAATGTTTTAAAATTGTATTTAAGACGGTAAGTATGACAGTTGTTTGCTGGCGGTTGAATCTTGGTTGAACACGTAGCTATAGAACAAATGCCGGTGCAAATCTTAAGCTAGACTGACTCGACCTATTTTGGATAATATTGTTCTTCGGCGCGTCACAGTTCACGTATGTGGCATGTGCGTGAGAGCGGCAAGACGACATACTTGTAGGCAAGCATGCTTACAAATATGCTGGCTAGTCGCCGATGAAGTGCAATGTTTCTACCGTATACGCCCCTCACCCGAGTGCAGTTATGATTGATTGCTATTTAGAAATACCTGACAGCATTTTATCTGATCTGTATTAAAAATCGGTTTTATGTTTTCGAACACCTACGTAGCTTAATTACTTTTTCTTGTATGCAGCTTTCCTTCACTGATGTTTTGCAAGACAGTGGGGCTGGGACCGCGCCCGCAGTACTAACGAGACCACCAGTGCACTTTCTTTGACGGGAACCGGAGTGCATCATATGATCGTCATTCATGAAATTTCATGAGGAATCTTATATTGTTTTCGAAAGTCATTTGAAGTTTTTAAAATCAATATAGATTGCTGCAACCAGTACTATGTGCCACGTCCTTATTGCTTTGATATCTTAGTTGCAGCATGCAATGCTGTAAGAAAAGCCAGTCAAGTTAATGCATTGTACTTGGCAGGTTTAATGCTTCTGTATCAAGGTGTTCAATATGGGCGCGATCTTATCCGCGTGCTAAAATGAAACATCCATTCATGTCGTGTAATAGGTCAACGCCCGCATAAACGTCCCTGTCGTAGTGCATACGTGGCAGGACCCTCGACCAATCGCGTATGACGAGGGTGAATGTTCTATTGTGCGGCATAAAGCAATGCATGTCCGATGAACGTCCCATAATTTTAGAGATATTCCCAGGTACGTCCAGTGTACGTACTGAAAGGGCTAACTTCAGATCCACCTTGTGTCCGAACCTACGGTTTTCGTCACCCATCGGAAGTTCGACGCATCGACAATTTTTTTTTGCGCTTAAGGGTCTTACAGACGACCACAATCCAGCTGGTGGTTTGCTGAAAATCTACAGAAAGTTTGACCATCTGGTGTTCTTTAACGTGAAGACATAGCACAGTATGTGAGCCTCTACTATTTCACCTCTATCGAAATGCAACAGCCATGGCTGGTGCAGCGAAGAATCGACCGACACTTCTGTATTGGGATCCCTTTTTCACATCTTGTTCCTGCTATATTTCTGACTAATACATTGAGAACTACCACAACGCTGGACGTGCTGAGAAGGTATGTCAGTGAATTTGGCAATGAGGACTGCCACAAAACAAACCAAGTGCTTGAATGGGGTGTGGTTCTGGCAAAGGCATGAAAGAAAATGCCAGATTTACTTAGAAGTGTGGCAGTTTGGCCTAGTTAATATGACATGACGATAGTTATAGTGCGAGAACAGAATGACCTTCTTGTCTCTTTGTCGTTCTGTTCTCGCGCTATAACTATCGTCAGGCCAGATTTACATCTAGGACTTCCTTAAGCCTTAGACTGCCCGAGATAAAGCTGTGAGCATCAAGTGCTTTATTTAGCTGCACTTCTTCCCGACTGCACTGCATGTTTGTGCTTTACGTTTCGCACCTACTGCCTTTTTTTTTTTTGTGGTTCCATCAAAAATGTGTTGTACTCAAGGTTTATTGCTAATGATAATATTGCAATCTAAATAAAAGTTTAATGCTCTCACGCTAATATTTCAATATAAGATAGATGGTACCATCAGTAATTTCAGTTGCCCAAAATGATGAGATGGCATGAACACTGTCATCAATGAGTGAATATTCCTTAGCATGGCTTTGAAAAGTACTGCAGTGGTGCACCGAAATTCCTACCTTATAACAGCAACATTTTCTTTTACATGGTGCTTCATACTGTTGTGTAGAAAGCACTTAGAGCACAACGCAGAACATTAACTCAGTTAGTGGTGTCTAACATTGAGGTATATGCATGCAAGCTTTTGAAGGTAAGTCCGTCAGCTCTGAAAGTTTACCTTCATATGCTTTAGCTTTACGACTTTGCACAGTGAAATGTGAACACCACAATAATGTACCTCGCTATAAAGCAGTGATAAAGTTAGAGCAGGGCATATTGATGTTTGCCAAATGCTCAGTTTCTTCCATTCCTGCATTTCAAAAACAGATATCCATATGGCAGAAGTAAATTACAAAGCTATTTTCCTTCATCGCACAATATTTCCAATTATTCCCACTGGGCTTTCTACTGACACCTTTACCAGCCTCTATATAAAAGCCTCATACAATGCTAAATAGTGCCCTTAAGTAAGTATGATCTCATTAAATAAGTATATGTATGTTTCTTGCCTATTTCAATTAATTCATTTTTGCTATGCACCTGTCACCATTGAAAAACAGTTGATCTTCCCTTTTAAACCAAAAAACCCCAAATAAAAGGTATAGCAGGCATTTTTTTATAATTAGCATGTCATGTTTTTGTATTTCAATCAGGAAACTTAAGTGAAATACTATGCTCATCTTTCTGTAGTATAGCTTGTATCTTAGCTCTCATATTTCTATAGAATTCAGCAATTCTCGAGCTACAAAACCAATTCTTAATAAAGAGGTACAAGTGATTGAAGTGTGGCTTCAAATGTTGCACAAAAAAAAAAAAGCCATCACCATGAATGCAAGAACATGTTAGGCTCACCTTCAGGTAATCGTGTAACACCCACAGCAGCACAAAATTTGATATTTCAGGTAGAAAAATATGATCACTTCTCTCTTTCAAAAGAGCAGCATAGGAACATTATAATTTGTGAGAAATATATATATCTTGAGCGATGCATAACACCACCTTCATGAATATGTGAAAAAAATGAAAAAATATATAATTAATAACTGTATAAACAGAACTGGAAATGGCAATGGTTTCAGAGGATATCATATGATCATTTGTTTAAAACAAGGCTTTTTCACACGAGCATAAAAGCAACACAACTTTCGGCTTAAGGTGTCACCTTTTCTTCTATGCAGTTTGACAGGTCCGAGTTAGCAATGACGGCCAGAAATATGCACACTTATTTATATATGTACAGCAAGTGCACACATCTGTCTAGGTGTTCATATGAGGTTGTCAAAAATATCTTACTTCATTTTCTTGACTTTCTTTGCACTGACACAGATTGCGGTGTTTTCATCTTGAATCAAGCACTCCTGCGTCGGCTTGCATTGAACGGTGCGACAGAGGTCGGCTGCAACACCAGTGGTATAACATATTAGTGGCAGACCGAAGCGCAAAAAACAACTGGCATCAAACTCAATACGTATCAATGTTTCGCTAACAAATCTAAAACCAATTATTTGTCCTCTGGTACTAGATAGATGGATTCCGTTACTCACCATCGGCGAAAGACCAGGCGTTATATGTCGCTTTCAGATCTTTCATCGAATCCTTCTGCGTCGAAGTCTAAAAAAGTAAAATAAAGACAAACGATGAATTTAAGATGCTGATACTTGTGGCTCTTCCCTCTAGCATGAAATTCCCTGAGCAAATACGTTCCATCGTGACCTCGTACATACGCGACGCAGCCCTCATAAACGAAGCAAAATAAAATATGTACAAAAAACGACGCGTATCCCTTTTGATCACCAAAAGCAACAGCGGACGGGCCATAGAACATCTGAACGGCGGAAGCCAGTAAAATCACCGTAAAGACGTACTCTTTATATGAATAAGACCAACAACAAAACTGTAGGAAATATATATATATATTAAATACGAAGGCGCTTTTCACGGGCGACCCAGAACTAAACATTTCAATGATTACCAGGTGCTTAGCTTCCCGTGAATAAGTCTGCACAAGATGAAAAAACAACCAATAATAAACAGGCGTTTATTATTGGTCGCGTTCGATACACATTCCTTTCCCATCGCGCAAGAGGGTGACAGGCGGAATAACTTACAGAAGCCGCCACAACTAACACGTTTGTGCGTAATAATTCTGCCTGTGCACAAACGCCAGCGAATTATGAAAAACAGTGGGCGCACGAGATAAAGTTTGGTTTCTCGTAAATACCATCCGTCGCTAAAAAAATGAAGCGCAGGAGCAGGTCAGCGCTGCTTCCTCCGCACGACTCACCTCATCTCGCGAGTGCTCTTCGAACTCAAAGTCCCATTCCTCGGAGTCTTTAGATTTGTCCTTGACGGTAGACGAGTAGACCGTGCAAAGTAGGGACGCCAGTACAACTACCCAGAGCCACGCCTTCTTGTCGGGATGCATCGCTCCTCAGCGCCGATCGGCTGCAAGTTTAGGCCTAGACCTTTCGCAACCTCACCAACACTGGATCAAAGCGGCGGATGCGAAGAGCTGCAGGCTCTCGACCCTTCACATTAAGTCCGTCAGCGCGTTTCTCGATCTCCTCAAAGCTTTGTGCGATCGAATAAGATTAGATGGCGGCACCCACTGGCCTTACCGAGAAAATAAGGCTGCGAAAGAAAAGTAAAGTGGACTTTACGGAGCACAACCCCTTTTCTCTCGGCGCAGCACGGCGACTCTCCTAAAACTCCTGCTGGCCGACACAGCCGACCGCCGCTGCGTTGGCTCCGCTGGCTCGGTTGTAGTTATCGGACACCGTGCCAGAGGGCTCTGAAGTGGTGCGCATGACCTACTACACTCCTGACCTGCCCAGAGAGCACCTCTTCCAGCGCCCACGTTCTAGTTCATACCTTCTGCCGCTAGGGCCGTCACCTACGAGCGGCGTGGCGCTAGGCAGCACCTGTTCGCTGACGTCACCTTCACTCTTTGTAGTCAAATTTAACCAACAAAGCACTCGTAGTGCGAATTTATGATCCACAATTTAGAAATATCCAGAAATAATAATACTAAAAGACATTCAGAATTTTTTTTGCAATAAAATGCACGCGACAACGCATAGGCTGTCCAAAATCATGTAAATCCACGGGTTTCCACGTTTGTCAACCAGTGTGCTATAAATTCTTAAGCGCACTGAACAGCTTACTTGACCAGCAATGTATGGGAAGAAATAGTCACATATATGCCGACAGTTCACCACAGAAAGCAGGCATTCTTATACCAGCGCCTACAAAACAACCGTAAAGAAGCAGACGAACAGGTTATAGGTAGCGCCACCTACGGCGAGCGATTGAACGAGAGCGGGGACACGCGCTCCCATAGGAACCCCGCTATCTGAACAGGTCAGGAGTGTAGTAGGTCATGGTGGTGCGCGCCGGCTCCATCGATTTGGATGTCGGCCGTGCTTGTTATCGCGATCAGGTAGGCGCTGCGCACACGCGCACGGACGATTGCGTGTACTAAGCGCACCTAGCGTATGCTCTTGTCTTCTCGCTCCGCGCTTTAGTTTTATTCAACACTGCGCGTGATGCCTCTGAACACGAAGTGGACCCTGATTTCATTCGAGTTTTTATTACACCATACGCGCTGGCTGGAAGACGATAAATAAGTAAAATAAATAAATAAACAATTATTTGTGAATAAATAAATAATCGGAAAGCTTTAGTTCCCTGATTAGTTTTATGGAAGAACTTGCAGCAACAAATTGTTACTTCATGCATTTGAAAAATGAACTGTATACAATCGCGTACCACATTTTCGTGGAATGCTTTCTCCACCGTTTATATCTTAATGCATATTATACTATGGTATCTGCGTGACCTTTGATACAGCCAAGAAAAAAATGAAATATCTACATGGGGCATATAAATTTTAAATCCGGGTTAATTGCTACACAAGATTGCGCATGGCCTGCTTAAGGACAAGGTTCTCAAACTTACCTAAGCTAGCGGGGCCGCAGTTACAAAATGTTGTGTGACAGGGACCGGGGTAGTCAGACTTCTTAGAATGTATCGCAAGTCCACACCTTGCGAAGCAACTCCGGGCGGTTCAGGGAGCCTGTGAAGTGATCGGGAACCTCTGGTGCCCGACCCCGTCGTGGCGGGTGCAGCCCTTGGTAGGTTCTTAGGAACCTTTTTCCCAGGACGCAAATAAAGTTCATCTGTCTGTGTCTGAGGGGCCAGGGCAGTGCAGATGGTGAGATCGCCTATACATAGTGGTCTCAAAGGAGGGGGAGGGGGAAATCTTGAAGGAAATGTCACCTAACGTTACCATTCGAAAAAAAAAAAAAACGCGTCTTCTATATCCCAATATGGGTCATTTCTGAAAAGGATTTCACATCAGGTTTCGGAAAAATAAAGAAACATCTAATTTCAACAACGACTAAAATCTAGAAACCGAAAATTCCCGTATGTGCACGGTGATGTTTCAACTTTACTGACTGCATGCATGGAGTGCTTCACGAAAAAGGAGCCTTCAGGCCGGTCGCGTCTCTGTAATTTACCCGAACAACGCGTTTTAAATTGCAATAGGCGAGAAAATATATGCGGGAACTATGGCAACGTCACAAAGCTAGATTCCACGGGAAGCCGCGGGCCGCGCATTCGAGACCTCTGCTTTACGAAGTCGTTATCCGTGGCACCAAATCATATTATGCCCAATGGGTGGCGCTAAGCTACTGCACCCCGTAGTAGATTGATTGAAGAAGAAATGTCTGCTACCTTATCTTTCTTTCTTTTCTTTCTTTTTTATCGTTCCAGGGAGCATGACTGTTTTTAGTACATGTTCCCTACACCGCATCTTAACCTAGTGCGACCAGAACTTCCTCGCGGCCGTAACCAGTTTGAATGAAACAAAAAGCATTGTTTTCCACACAGCTAGAGAATTGATGCATTGCTCCTTGCAAGCACCGCCATTATTCACTTTTTTTTGTGCACGATTGCAAGTGTTTTTGAAACAGTGCTGTAGATATTCATGCATTCCGTTCGCATACACTTGCGGAATTCGCTCCTCGAATTCATCGATACGACTTTTTGTGTCGTGGAGTAGTGTATAGCGCAACCCGAGGGGAACAAGTCGTTGGGCGTCAGGACTTTTTGCAAGTTATTTTAACCCCTTAACTGCTTTGGACGAGCAGAGCTCGTTTTGCCCAAACGGCCGCCTGTCACCAAACTGCTTTGGACGAGTAGAACTCGTCCTAACAGAATAGGAACCCCCCTGTAGCGTTCAGGCGTAGAAGCGTGCATTAACGGCTTATATTGCGTGTCATCCACCAGACGGCAGCATTTTTGCGAGGATTTATTTTTATCCTGCGGCAAGAGCGGGGTTTTTGTGGGGGGAAAATGGCGTGTGGTGGCGACGACACATGCATAGCTAGCTGGCCAGTGAACACGAAAAAAAAAAATGCTATTCGTTTTGCACTATTCTCGGAGTGATGGCTATTCGAGTGAAGATATTTATCGTGTGCCCAGAAGTGACGACAGCGATGGCGGTGAACAGGGTAGCTGCTTCGGTGATAATGAAGATAGCTCGGGTGCGAACGTTGTGAGTGCCCGCCAGTGAAGCCGCCTTGCCGTGTTCCAATTTTCTACGCAGCACCGAACTTCCCTATTGAAATACACCTAAGGGTGCTTAACATACAGAAGTGAAGAATGATGTGGCATCTGTAACTGTTTTTTATAAGGCTTTTAAATTTTATTAGCAGCAGGTAGTTGCTTTCCTATGTATTCTTCAGAAATAAACTTTATTCCGTTGATTTGACTAAGTATGTGGGGAAAATATTTTTTCAAAATCAGCTAGCTACGTTTTTGTACAATCAGATTCGAAATCAGCAATAAAAAATAGGCACTTTTCGACAGGAAATATTAAAAAAAAAAAAGGCAGCCAAGGTGCCACGACGCCCTCAACCATGCAGCCATGTGTCCCGAACAGCCTATAATAATATTATTATTATCTCGGGTTTATCATTCTAGAACCCCGATATGGTTATGCGAGAAGCCACAGTGGAGGTCTCCAGAAAGTTCGATCACCTGGGGTTTTTCACGTGCACCCAAATCTAAGCACACAAGCTTCAAACATTTTCGCCTCCATCGAAAATGCAGCCACTGTAGCCGGGACTCGATCCCGTGACCTTCGGGTTAGCATGACGAGCGCCATAATCACTAGACAACCGCGGTGGGGCTACGAACAACCTATAAACCCACAATTTGTGGTTGACGTCGTGTCTCTGATATACCTGCAACGACACAAGTTAGATGTTTAATAAACTATACGCCCTGCCATGGTGGTCTAATGGCTAAGGTACTCGGCTGCTAACCCGCAGGTCGCGGGATCAAATCCCGGCGGCAGCGGCTGCATTGCCGATGGAGGCGGAAATTTTGTAGGCCCGTTTGCTCAGATTTGGGTGTACGTTAACTAAAGAATCCCAGGTGGTCGAAATTTCCGGAGCCCTCTACTACGGCGTCTCTCATAATCATATGGTGGTTTTGGGACGTTAAACCCCCCATATAAATCAATCAATAAATCAATCAATTATCCGACTTTAGCGAACAAATTGATTTTGTTTTTTTCTTTAGAGTTAATGAAGTACTACAAATAACATAATATTTGTTACCTTCCGCCCGTATGGCCTATATACGGTGATACTGCTCGATGGGTCTCTCCGTCTGCTTTCAGAATGAACCTCGAACATCTGGAAGAGTTGTATAGGAGATATAGTGTAAGTGTAATAATAGGGAGTTTTCGATTGCTACCCCCCCCCCCCAAATAGCGTCAAGGCCATTGCGCATGCGCAAAGCCCAAACTGCGTTTGGGTTGGGGACACTATTTCTCAAATTTAGCGGGAGCCCCGCAGCCCACCACAAAAGTTTTGGGTCAGACATACGGGACGGCACCCACTGAAGTGACATGACCAAAAATTGTGAGAGTATCCAAAGCGCCGCCGACCCTGTTCGAAAACTCTTCGCTCCTGCTTGACTCAAAGGGTGCATAGGCTAAGGGCTTTGGGGGACCCAAACTTTTGGGGCCCCTATAACTTCCTGATATCAGGGATTTTACGTCCCCAAACCCAAGCGTAATCACGAGAGACGCCGTACTGGAGCGCTCAGCAAATTTCGACCATGTGGTGTTCTTTAACGTCCGCTGACATTGCACAATGATACACACAGGGGCATGTACCATTTCGTCTCGGGCACAATGCAGCCGCCTAGGCTTGTATCGAACCCGCGACCTTGGGGCCAGCAGCAGAGCCCCGTAACCGCAACACCGCAGCGGATGGGTCGCAGGATAGCGCATATAAGAAAGAACGCACACATTATAGAACGCTTTGAATCAAGCGCGAAATAATAAAAAAAAATAATTGATGCAGGTTCCAAAACCTTATTTATGTTGTAACACACCTGCAAAACACTGAACTATCGCTATTTAGAATACGATAGCGGGGGTACTTTGCCGCATGCGAAGATATTCACGTTCTTTGAATAGATCAACACTAAAATCGGAATGTAATGCGTCTAGTCCTTCTATTCCTACCCTTCTCTTCAAAAAGAAAAAGCCCCAATGGCCTATCATTTTTACAGTTTTAACCTATGCAGTCATGGTGTGCTGATAATGATTTAAGTATAGACTACAGCTTGACCTATATATAGGTAAAGTACATCTAGCACCTCATCATCAATCAAGCTGGCGGTATACTTCTACTGTACATCGTTATAAATTATTGCGAAATTACCACACTCACAATATTTTCAG